TCAATTAACAAGACTGGCCTCTTCAGATTCTGAGATTGGGAATTAATTACATGCAGTTTTTGAGGCTGTGCTCTTTGTTACTGGCAGTTGGGTGGGAGGGAATGTATGATTATGCTAAAGGAAAATCATTCTGACTATTAGTTATCAGACTGAAGACAGAATATGCCTTTTGAACAAAACATAATGCTTTTTGAAATGCTGAAAATATTTTCTAAAATGTCTCAGCTGAACTTTTTAGCTGAAAGTCAGTTAAAACCAATTGTTCCAGGACTTCATGTCAGGGTTTTCTGTACTTTGTACTGTAGAATGAGATGAATGACAGCATCAGAGCAGATCAACAGCATAAGTCTTCTATGTTTGTTGATACTTTATTTGATGCTAGAGTTGACCCCCAAATTATTTTTTTGCTATTGGAAATTGACTTTCTGATAAAGGAAAAAAAAAAAGGAAAACAGTTACGTTTATGAAGAAAATAATGCTACGTATATTGCTGCAGTGCCTTGTAGGTTTTATGAATGCAGCATGTTCACAGTGATTTTAGTATTATCCTAATGGTCTAAATTCTGTGAGCTACATCTCTTCTATTTCCTGTCATTCTAAATCACTGTGTACTACACTTTACCTTGTTTGTATCACTTCAGCTACTGATGCTACAATTGCAGTTAAAAGCCAGTTTAGCTGCTTTAATTATAAAGTGCCACCAAAAGATGCAGTCCCCCCATGCTACAGAGAGACCATTAGCATTGAGTTTACCGATCATAGGATAAACTGGTTAGCAGGCTCATTCACTGTAAAGTTAATCCTGCAGAAAATCTACTGAAACTGACATTTGTTGGATGAGTGAGCGGAGTCAGCTCACCCTTTGGTGACCACTAGATCCTGTATGAGGAGGGACAGGAACTTATAAAGAATGTAGTAGTATGTGAGACTTTCCTCTTCAGTCACAGCTCACCCTTACACTGCCTTAGCTGTAATGTCAAAGTGATCAATAAGACCCTGCAATTCATTAAACCCTTACCCATAATGTGTAACATAACAGGCTAATAAAATATTGAAAGTTCCCAAGCTCTAGAGGCTGCTACCCTAAATGGATTTGCAAGCCTGAAATAGGAGGTACAGATAAAGGTCTAAGTGTCTTTGCCTGGATTCAGTGTTCTCGCTGACCTCAAGAGTCTTGCAAAGAGTCTTTGAAAACAACCTACTGCTAATGCATATGTACCACCTGATGCCATAAATGCCATTACAATAAAAGCATGAAACAGAAAAGAGAAACTTCCTGTGGTGTTAGGAAACCTCATCACAAGTTAGCAACATGATGAGTAGCATAAACTGCATATCAACTTTGGATTTTCAAAGGACATTTTTCTCTGAAGTAAATTCCACAGCAGGTTGGATGTTTGCATTCTCGGGGTGTTCAGAAAACTAATGACTCTTGAACAATCAAGCATGTACTTGCTGCATACAAAGGCAAGATCAAAGCCACATGAAAATGTGCACATATTTTTAATACACTCCTCCAGAAAAAGGTCAAAAGCATTAGGTAGACCTTGCTGAACCTGTAGATTAGCCCCACAGAGCACTTCACATACCAAACAGGAACATGCAATGCAAGTCACTGCTTTCCATTCCTCAGTTCTGTTTGTGCTATAGATAAAAAGGTGCTAGCTATCACTTTTTGAAGGAGTGCAGATAAAGAGTCTTTTTATGAGAATACCTGCTGGGGAGCTGCATCTCCCTTAGATGATAAAACGTTTAACTTTGTTCCATCACAAAAAGCCTTGGCGGAATCTTTCCTGGAAAGGATGAAGTGAAAAGCTATGGTAGGATGAACAGACATGAGAAAAAGTGCTGCAGCAAAGGCTTTCAGAGAGTAGAAGAGCAAACTGTATTATTATGCTTTACAAGTGTTTGCCACTGAAAAAGACAGTAACATACTCCTTCTCTTGGACTGATGATGAGAGACAAATTCAAAGCCACAGTACAATTCATTTGAAAGCTGCATGTAAGAGAAGAACAAAAAGGACCACTCACCTGCTGATGGGGTTCCCCACTTCACCTACTTAAATTAAATACAAAAGATTATATTTCTTTTGGTCTAAAGCAGCAAGTAGGATCATAGAAATTTTTCTGTCACTATGAAAGACTCAGGAAACTTTTTTTCAAATAAAAAGCTTTTTTTTTTTTTTTGAGGTTTGAAATAAAGAGAAACAGAAGACAAGATGTGAGAAAGCCACATTCCAGTTTTTCTGCATCTAGTCTTGCTGGTCTATATATAATAAGGAGTTACTTCCCAGCTTATGATTTCAGACCTCTTTCAGGGTGGACATGATGAAATAGAAGCAACTACCTGTGGAGCCGAAGGAGAACCCAAATGTGTGGCCACCAGCTTCTTTAGGAAATGATTACTTACATTGTTTACAAATTAAGAGTCTTAAATTTTAATCTTTCTATGTTACTAAAGAAAAAAAAATCCACCATTTCTGGGTTTAAACCGTGATTGTGGCACAGATTCCATCTACTCAAATTCTCCTCCTCCCATCCCTAAGAAGGTTCGGGAGGAAAGAATTGAAAAAATATTTTTCCACAAAGAGGCAAAACATATCTGTGGCCTAGAGCTGTTTCATTTATGATCTGGAAGAGAATGGCAAGTCACTCCTGATATCATCCTGATATGTACTTGTGGGTACCACAAATGTTGATGGATAGGTTAATAATGACCAGGACAGAGAACCCACACAAAGCCGAGCAGATCCTTTGGTAAACTGGACCAATGCATGCTATATTATAACATAGTATCAGTTTATGCTCCCAGCAAGAATCATCAAATAAATAAAAAAGGAGTAGTTCGAGTATGAATCCCTTTTTGAAAGAAATGCTCTATGTGAACACTTTGTTTAATAACCTGGAATAGTTATTGGGCTTTAGATGATGTGGACTTACATATGTGGCCTTACGTTGCCGCCACCCTGCAAAGATGGCCATTGTAATATCTTGCAAGCTGTGTGCTCATTTCTAGAACAGAGCTGTTCAAAAAGTGAATGGATCCTTCAGATGCATTTTTTTTTTGTATCAGCTGTGCAGGCAGGGTATGACATCTCTGGACACTCCCACTTTTTTTTCATGCAGATTTGAGTTCTGTCAAGCCTAAATCCCTATTGGGTCAATCTTTACATGATTTACTCTATATTATCACTGGAAACACTTACTCAAAAATGGAGGGAGAATAAAATACATATTTAGTAATCTTTTTGATACCAGGACCATAGACTGCTAAGGACTTAGAGTAGTAAATGTTAATATTGCTGCCTAAATCAAAGTGTGTTAAAATATTTCTCAATTTAATAATTGTTATATAGTGTATATTTTATAAATAATGTATATAATTTGCTTATTTGGCACCATTCTGCATCCATTTGTGGCTTACCATTTGAACAGGGATCATTAAAATGTAAATTAGAATTCATTGCCTTCAATGATATGGAATTTGTGGGGGAAAGGTGAGGAAATGCCTTCTTGGTAAACCAAGAGAGATAAACCTTTATCAGGAAGCATTTGTACAGAAAATTTCTGCATGAATATTCTGCTTTTATTTCTTTAGGAATTTTCTGGAAAATCCAAGGGTTTTTTGGTATGCCCAATTTAAGGCCCTCCCTGAATAGGAACAGACAGTTTTCAGTCATTCTTTAAGGCCTAGACAACAGTGGAAAACATAAAGCAAAATTCTGAAAATCCTTTGATTCCAAGTGTTAATCATTGTGGGTAAACATGCAAAGCTTTATATGCCATTTTGGTGGACATGCAGAATATAGTAGCTGTGTTTATGCATATTTTCAGTGCCTAAGAAACAAGTTCTCTTTGGAAGCCTTTAAGTTGCTATTGAGCAATATTTCATAAAACAGTGTTAAATTTTTGCTTAGCCTCACATTATGAAATTATTTATGCAACCACAAATGAAAAGGACCACCTCAACAGAAATTATGGTATATATTCTAAATCATAAATACGTTGAATTTCATTTATGTGGCTGTTGCCCATTTTGAATATAGTAAAAGGAGCACTTGATCTAATTTAATTCACAATTACAGAGTACCTAGTATGATGTTAGCAGCAGAATAATGTATATTGGTAGTTTATTTTCTGATGCGCTAGGATTTTAGAACTAAAGCTTGTGGAAGCCTTTTGCAAGCAAAGACAGCCTTTGTTCTATGGCAACTGAATTTGAGATTATTTAAAATTTTATTGTTTCTATTTGTTTTCTATTCCCTTCAAGTCTGCTAAATGAATGGTAAGAGCAGCCTCCTAAGTGGCTTGTTTCAAGGGAAATACAATTTTAAATGTTTTAACAGCTTTGAGTCTGGTACATGTTACATATATTCTGTGATCTCTGATTTCATGTACATGAATACCTGCTTTAAGCTAAGTAATTTTGCTTTTTCTCAGAACTGAAACATGAGATCTACGTTTGGAGATTGACTGCCCAGCGTATTAACCCTGCCAGCAGAGAAGAGACAGCAGTGAAATGCCTCCTGTTGCAGAAGGTCTTGACACTGGAGATCCTCCTGAGGAAGAAGCTCAGGACCTTCCACAGGTGAGCAAGTGCCAGCTCACATTCCCCATCTCTGTCCTCACAGGGCATAACTCAGACCCTCTGTGGGGCAAGCCAGGGACAATCTACAGGGATGGGCAATTTGTAGAACCAGCCCCATTTTGGTGAGCCTAGTCTACAATTAGGACTGGCAGCATGGCTTTGCTAAAATCTATAGTGATATTTCAATTTTGTTCAATAGGCCAAGTGCTAACTTGTTATTTTAAGCAGAACAGAAAGTGAACACCAGTGGGTTCTTCACTATGCTCTTAGCCACCTCTTGATCACATGGGTGTTGGTGCAGGCATGAAGAACCAACCTCAACTTTAGCAAAACATGAAGTATCTTAGGACAAAACTGATGTCAGCATGACCCAGGTTTTATTATGCATCATAGTTTTACTTTCAAAATAATTTGGTATGTTATTAGACTTTTCCTTGCAACAGTGGCTTCACAGTAGTAAAATTATCTACATATTTTTTACTGAAAAATTCAAGTTTTTTTCAGTGAAGTGATCAATTTGGAAAATAGACCATTGGTTAATTACTACATTTTAAAATTATTTCATAATCAAATCTTCAGTGTTAATCTGAGTATAGCCATACTTTACTTTTTATGTATAGAAAGGCAGAGTTTTTATAAACTATGACTAACAAAAATGCTAAACCTACTTCCAAAAACAGCTATTGCTCTATGGAATTTGATGTCTGAGGTGCTAAATATGCTGAGAGTGAAATTGACTCTAAGCTAACGTGAAACTGAAATAATCCATTTTTATTAATAAATGTGTTAATTAAATAGGCAGTATAAGCAAGGGCATGTAAATTTTATTTCTAAAATATTCCAGTAGTAAGGTGGTTTTTGTTTACATAGATTTTTTGCAGAGGCTGTGCACTCTGAATAATCTGACAGTATTAAAAGACAAAAAACAATCTGTTAAAATAACCCACTTTTCAATGAGATAAAAGTTGCTATTAGACACTATGACCTTACAAGGTGGGGACTTCTGAAGTGTAAATAAAAATCATGTATTTGATTTTAAGAGTCAGGATTCCTCCAGCACTGTGTAGCAAAATAAAGATCCACTAGCATTAGCAATAGGCATCCTTAATTGCAAACCCAAGGCATTTTTTTTCTGGAGGCTGACAATGCTCATAATACAGCAAAGATATCGAATTCTTAAAAAATTCTCTTGACAGAGCTCTAATTTTACACTGGAAAAAAAGCAGGTCTCCTTTTCTTTCAGGCAAATTTCACAAGAAGATAAAAACTGGGAAACAAATATTCAGGAACTTCAGAAAAAAGTAAGTAGATGATAGTTGTCAGTATCTATATAAGTGGACCTTTACCTTTATAGAGGGTACAAGGAGTGCTCTGAATCCAATACAAATTGCCACAAGGAGAAGAAAAGCTGGTAGGCAAGCAGCTTGCTTCTCAGTGGGAAAAAGTTGCTGAACAACTGTGACAATTTTCCTCAGGTTTTATACTTATGTTTCTTAGAAAAGTATTGTTTAAAGGACCATTAAATGATTCAACAGTATTTTCTTCAATTTTTAATCCATGCCTGGAAGGACTTGGAAGAGGTCAATATGCTATCTATAACCATGATATATAACTATACAATACATTCCTACTGATGTGCTTAATATCAACTCTAATTTACTGCACTGTCTGGAACATGCCTGGTTTATTATTCAAGTATGGATAAAGCATTTAAGTAAATCCCTCTCTCTTCACTGAACACACATTAGCACTGTCTGGCTTTATCCTGAAGCTGAGTCTGATGAGATGCACGCTCCCTAGTGGGATTAATTTCACCTAAATTTAACTGTCTAAACATCACCCAGCATCACTCCACCTTACCAGCATCACTAATGAATCCAAACCTATTATTTCTGGGGTGTTATTTGGGAGCTTAAGTCCTTGACCAAGACCTAGCTGTCCAATGTGTTATACCAAGAACAGGATTAAGCATTAGACCTTTTCTACTGTGTTGAAAAAAAAAAGACATCTTTGCTAAAGAATAGAGATTATATTGTAATTTCAGAAGGTTTTAAATTGTGTGGAAGGCACTGGAAAAAAATAGAAGAAATGTCGGGGGAAGGTGATTCCCTGCGTTGATGGAGAAAGTGAGACTGGAGCAGAGATGTAGAAGAGCCTGGGTCTGTGTGGGAGGTGTGTGCAGCTGGGGATGGGAATTGCAGGGTTGGGCTCATTCGTGAAAGAGGCAAAGGACGGATGAAAGATCTGACCTCTAGGCAAGGTTATAGCTTTTTAGAGAGTGACAGCAACAAAGTGGATTTTTTTCCAGGCTCAAGAGAACCTGGAGTTACCTCTGTAATAGCAAATGCATTTCAACCATGCTTTTCCTTGTATAGGGAAATGGGGGTAGCTGAAACAACTGAATATACTCAGCAGAAGTTAGCTCTTTGCATCTCTTACATTCACACTGAGCTTCCCTACATATTCATGATTTTATAGGTATCTATGGAATACTTCAATTTAAATATTTCTGCCCTTTACGCTGAAGAGCCTATATAGTACAGGAACAGCAGACTGTGCTTCATGCATGTTTTTGTGAACTCTATGCGTAATAGATGTAGTTCTTTAGTATAGTTATTGATTACTTTTTCCTATCTACAGCACAGAATAACAGACAAAATTCTTCTCATCAAATGCCTGACTGTGTTGGGATGTGTTATTCTTATGTTTTTTCTGAACTCCTTTGTTCCAGGCATCCACCTGGATCTTGGTAAGTTTCATAATTTTACTCTATTTTAACAGAAAAAAAATATTTTTCTGCATCTGGATTTGCTCAGAAAGCCCACTTCTATATGTTTGTTGTTTAACATTTTCGTCATTTAATCAGAACACTAGTTTCTCAAAACAAGTTTTTGAAATGTAGTCTTGTTCCATTCACCCCAGGAGCAGAAGTATTCCTGTTATTAATAGGTGAATGCACGTTACAGAATAAGCAAACTCTATCTTGGTATGATTGCTGTAGATTTGAACGAGTGACCAAACCTCACTGTGGCAATCAGAAAATAATCACTCTACATAATAGTAAAGTAGTCTGGCATTTCCTAAGTGTACATAACTCCAGAACTTCCAGGCTCCATTACTTTATTGTCATAATAAATCATTTTCCATAACAAAATCAAGGAGAAACTGTATATATGTGAAATGAAACAGCTGAAAGTATTGGAGATGTTGAAATAGGACAAATAGGACAAAGCTGATCTGTGCATTGCCCTATAAAAAGGTAACAATTATTTAGACTGTTGAAAGTAAGGGAAATTCATATTTATGCTTTCTCTATTGTGTACATCTATCCCAGTGACTGAAGGAAGCCACTGTGAAGAAAAATAACTCATAATCAATAAATCACTGATTCAATCCTAATATGCACAGATGAATAGTGCATAAGCTAAAAGCTTATATATGCACTTATTTTTCTATTATTACACTTAAATTCCTTTTTGTGATTTGTAAAATAGTTACAGTTATTCAACAGTGAGCAAGCTGAAGACAAACCCTACCATGTCTCTTGCTGACCCTCTGAGTACCTTGGCAGGCTTGGTACACCAGCAGTAGTAGCACACCGTTATTTTGGCTAGCAGGGCTACAGGTTACTGCTCTGATCTGGTTAGCATCTCTCTCTACTGGGACTCAAGTCAACATGAGTGTTGTGTAGTGCCGGCACGAGTGGGAGGCTGTGTGCTACCCTGACTGGAGCAATGTGTTTTGGCAGGTACAGCTAAGTTGTGAGATGTGTTAATTCCTGGGATTGATCCTTGGCCCAACACATTGGTGTGGCTTGGGATATGAAGTTACCAGACAGTGCAGATAGATAGACTCAGGAACACCTCTTTGGCAGGTGAAAGGCATCCTGGAACAGTTCATGGTTAGGATAGGAGATATCTCAGCCAGGCCTTCTTCTCCTTTAATACCAGTCTCAGCTGAACATACTAGGTTCCAGAATATTTGCTCGGGAAATGGGAAATTTCAGTCAATAGGTTATTGGCTGTTAAGGAGTTGAAAGCTGTACTGAGATGTTATAGCAGCAAAAGTGCTATATTACCAAGGTGTAGGAAGATGGAGGAATTAAAGATGTGGGAAGGTATTTGAAGTTGCCATGGCTAAGAATATGTAAGAAGGGAGTTCAGAAAGAAGTCAGTTTTCACCCTTACTTTCCCATCTCTGATAAGCAGACTTTAAACCATGCAAGATTTTATGAATTAAACCTAAAAGTGTTTTTGAAAACCCCCACACAGTCAGTAAAAACTATCTAACAGTGGTTGCATATGCCTCTCCTAAGGTATGCCCTCTAAATGGTAATGTATGTGGAGACAATACTGTCGATAACTGCTCATTACTATTTTCCTATCATTTTACATTAGTAAAATAAAAGAAAACACCGGCAAGGCCAGCAGTGCAGGTTTCTGTTATTCATTAGCTGATCTTCACCTGCAACTTTGAAAGTTAATGCAGGATGTCTGTATTCTGTCTAAATTCTCCCTGTTATATATTCATGGCAAATCTAACAGATTAATGAAGAAATGTTCTTAAGTCATATGCATTATTTCTATTAACATTTAATGGAACCTGCAAGCTTGTGCTGAGGTGTTATTGGTAACTCCTGAATTCTGCTATCTTGATGTCAGCTATCAGTTATATACCATTACTGAAGTAATGCTACTGTGATTCTCTGTGGATTTTAGTTCTCCAGCGTACAAAAATACTTCTTAAAATACAGAACATCTTGTACTCTGATGGTTTGGTTAAATTTCTTCAATATGTTTTTCTTATAAAGATGAGAATAGATTGTAGTTCAGTGTTTAATTTTCTACCCGAATAATGTTTTATACAGAAGCTGAAGTGTTAGAAATCTAATAACTTTTAATTGCATTTGGTAGAGTGAATTAGAGAGATTACAGAATTTTTTATCAGTCCCCAGCCTTGATATAATTTTTTCATTATTAACTTGGAGTCATTGATATAATTTGAGGGAACTGACATTTTAATTTAAATAATAAAGTTAGCATCCTTAACAGTCTTTTAAAATGCAGAACACCTTCCTACTCAGTTTTCTTGTACCTGCTCATCAAGTTATTTAGTCTAACTCCATGGACTATCTATGAATCCAAGGTTAATACTGAGAATTTAAACCAACAGATATGGAAAACTTAGTTAAGACTTCCATAATATCTGTGTCCTGTTCCTGTAGGATTATGTTTTGTTGATAAAATATCTGAAAAGAAAAAAAGAAATGATGAATGTAGAATCCCTTTGAGCACTGAACCTGGTTCCTGTGTGGGCTTTAACTTTTAGGCAGGTATGTCTAGACCTTTGAATATTTGAATATAGGGAAAAGCAAAAAAAAAGAGCAAAAACAAACAAACAAACAAAAAAACACCCAAACTTCTAAAGTAAAATAAAGCAAGGTTTATTTATTTGAGATCTTCAAAGACCACTTGGACATGGTCCTGTGCCACATGCTCTAGGTGACCCTGCATGTGCCGAGTACTTGGACTAGATGATCTCTAGAGGTCCCTTCCAACCTTAAGCATTCTATGATTCTATGATTTAGAATATAAAATAGGTTTTTTTTTTTGTTTGTTTGTTTTTTCAATAGAGAAAGTTCAAAGTGAGTCAGTCATGCCTGATAGCTCTGGCTATCTGAGCATCAGACATCCATAAAGTAATTACCTTCAGCTCCCCTTAAAGTAGTCTATGGAAATAGTGAATAATGAGAGGAGGTAAGCAACAGGTGTGATTTGTTGAACCTACTTTCAATTTACAGATAGGTTCACTTTACCCTATATTACTTCACTTTTTATAAAGCAGTCAAACTGTAGCAAGTTTGACACAGCTAGATGAAAACAAAAACCTAGCACTTAGATGGAGAGTCAGCTTGATGATTGATAATTTTGGAATTTGATTAAAATAACTTTGATATTATTAACCAGAAGTGATGTTAGTAAAGAACCCAGTTATATCAGTTTTTTAAAAAATGTGGTTTACTCTTTTAAGCAACAAACAGGATCACTATCACCTTTTTGGGTAGTTGCCTAAGTTCTGTAAATCAAAACTCAAGTCAAGCAAAAGTCCTAGGCCTATATTTTCACTACTGTCTTTTCTCTAGAGCTAAAATTTCTCCATGTATACAGTGAATTGTTACTTTGTTTGAAAATATCTCATGCGTGTAGTTAAATCTATTTTCTCTTGGAAAACTCTCATCATTTACAGATCCTTTTGAGGATCTGAAATTGGGAACTATTAGCAATTTCTCTTGACTAGTAACATTTAAATCCTTAAAGAATGTAGAATGATTTTCATTTAATTCAAGCTGTCATTTTCGTGTTCATTAGGCCATAGTATGCAGTCTTTTTATTTTATTACCATTGCATTAAATAAAAAATGTGTTCAATTGCTGTAGATATAAAAGACTCTTGTTGTATTGCCATTCCTTTAGATATTGGTTATTGTATTTTCTGTCTCATTTCCATAATTTATAAGAAATACCAAAGAAATTCATGGGAGTAATTAAATACCTTAATTGAAAATGGCATCAGCAGAACAAAAAAGCAAATGATGCCTATCGAGAATGTTATGCAAATTATAGTGGAAATTTTACCTTACCATTCAGAAGAGTGTCACCTCAAACTCAAGAGAGAGGATTGGCTCTAAAATTACTGAAATATAATTTCTCTTGATTTTTGTCTTGCTTTTATTTAAATGGCCATGCATAGTTGTCATCTTTTACTGTAATTTAGAGTTGAACCAATAAATATAATAGAGTAGAGGCTGAGGACGTTTTGTCTGGTAGATTGCTTAATGATGAAGAATGGCCTGCATAGCCCTAAAGCACTTCATGGACTCACTTAGAATTTGCTATTGAATCACAGAACTAAAATGTTGAATGTCAAAAGTTCCATATCAATATTTATTTGGCTTAGAAACACGGAAGATAGTTTTCCATTACTACAGCCTACTAAGATTTTAACAACTAGCTTCTTTCACATTATTTTGTGCAGCATTTTCAAGAAATGGTACAAAGAATAAACAGCAGCTATGATTATGTCTTAAAAACTACTGTCCTGAGTATGCAGTGCACCTACCTATTAAGCTGCCCAAACTGTAATAAATATTATCCTCAACTTCTGTCTTGGCCTTGGGACACAGCATCTGCTTTTGAATTTGCACTAGGGAATTTCTTTTAAATGGTGAAATGTTTTTAAATTTGAATCACCCCACAGCAGCTCTGTGAGTGAAGTCCTGTCTCGCTGTGTGCAGTAGAACTTGCCAGGTTAAAAAAAGTCATAAATTGCCATGGAGCAGGAGTTCATACCTGAGAAAAGTGTGGACAGATTCCATTAGTCTGAAAGATGTGTTAACTCCAGAGTATCTACACGGCTCCTATTTTTACACTTTGAACTGTTATTCTGTAACTTTTTGCTCATCTGCTGTTGGTAATACATAGATTAAACCATCTTATGCTACCATACTGTATTATGGTGGAGCTGTATAAATTTGTTGCTGTTAACAAGCAATAAGATTGAAAACAAAAAAACAAATTAGGTTCTCACAATTTCTAAACTTTTGTATGCATAGAGACGGAGTAGAAAAGACTTGTTTTTATTTTGGAAATGCTTTGTTTCAGGTGAATTTGGCAATAGTTAAAATGAAAGGTCTATTATAAAATTATTCAATATTACTGAGAGATTATTTACAAAATGTTTGAAAGATGAT